TAAAAAAATCCTGGACATTTCTGAGCTTGAAAAGTTGCTCGAATAAACTCTGAAATTTTCTAGAAAATTGTAAAAATTTCTTAAGTTGAACAATTGTAAATTTACAAGAAAAAAATCAGAAATTTAGAGACAAACTTCATACATTTTTTAGAAAAAACTTGGAAATTTTTGACTTTGAAAATTTGCTTGAAAAATATCAGATTTTTTTTTAAATATTAATCTCAGTAATCGTCTACAAAACAATTGGACATTTTTGCATTTCAAAATGAGAAAATTTGATCTCAAAATTACTGAGTTTCTGTTCTCACTATTTTTGAGCTCAGAAATTTTGCAAAGTCAAGAATTTGCTAAAAAAAAAAACAACAACAACAAACAAACAAACAAACAAAAACACTCAAATTTTGAGATCTGAAAATCTCAGATGTTTTTGGCAGAAACGCACTCCTCCTTGTTTACTTCCTGTCCGCAGTGTCCCTCCCTGTCAGTGTTCGGCCTCCGGGCGCCATCGACCGGCCGGCCCTCCTCTTTCAGCTCAGCGTCTCTGCCGGGACTAAAACACCCGGTAATTCACACAGCGCCCAAACAGGAGGACCTCCACTTAAACAAAAAGTCGATGACGCTCTGCTGCTTTTGAACAACAAAAGAGACGGAAGGCAGGGCGGAGCGTCCTGAAGTTGGAGACTCTGAGCGTTTGGTTTTTATTTAGCCGTTAATGGCCGAGGTGCGCGTTCAATGGAGAGGAATAATGAGGCCGATCGATTCCCATCGACCTATCGGCGCTTCCTCTCACACCGATACCTCGGGGAAGCCTCATTTGGTCCACAAAAGAAAGAGAGTAACTGGAAATAATATTCAGGAGAGAAGCGCTGGGACAGAACTATTGATTCTTGTCATAAATGATAAAAATATTGATCGTTTTAATGCTCTGGGCCGCCGCAGTTGCTTTATTTATGCAGGGCTGCATCCAGCTCAGGTTGGTTTCTTATAAAACAAGTTGTGGGTTTAAAAGGATTTTGGCAAACACACAAATACGTAAACCATCCATTTAGGAATAGCTTCAAACTTAAAAAGAAAAGTTTTGATAATTCATTAAAAACAACAGCCGTGGTGATTAATGTTAATCAGATTGGCTTCAGATATGAATAAAAATAACATGAAAAAAACAGAATTAGTTTAAAAACAGCTAAATGAAACGTCAAGTGTTAACAAATAAGTTTTGCTTAATTAAAACAATGAGGTATGTTTTCTACACTCTGTTGCTATAGCAACAGACTAACCCAAAACGATTGGCTCATTTCCTGATACACAGAGGAACTCAATCAGCTCATCTTATTCTAGAGCTGATATCCCATAATATGACGTCCAGCCACCATCTGCAGCTAAACCACATTCAGCTATTCAGTTTTGATGTGTTTATGGGGATTTTGGACCATTTCCCCAGAAATGCATTCATGAGGTCAGACACTGATGTTGGAAGAGAACTCCTGGCTTCTCGTCCAGCACTATCTGTGTTTGTATTAATCATAGAATTATAAAACTTGGAATTAGGGAAATAAATTTGCTTAATGCAAAGATGCCAATTTTAACTCCTGTTCTTGGATAAAAAGTTTTTTGCGCTGGGATGGGGAGATTTTTTCAGTCGTATTACCACATTCAAAAGCAAAGAAGACAACAGGAAGTGGTGTGAGGATGACAGTTTGTTTAGTTCTTTTGGACAATGTAGCTCTGGCTCCTCCACAGCATCACTAACATCAGATCATAAAAAGCTGTGAGTCCTTCCAACGTGTTGAATCCATCGCTCCTCTATAAAATGGCCGACTATAATTTCCCCAAAACGTCGCATACATAGCCACTTCCAAGTAGGCGGGGCTTCTCGCTCCAACGCCTGAATAAGACGTCTCCTCTGATTGGCTGATAGATGATGAGCGTTGGCACCATGGCTGAATTATATTATGGATATAATTCAATCAAACTAATTCACATGCGATTTATATTTAATTTCTCATTTAATGAGACACCAGTTTAGTTTGATTTAACCCTTTCTCGCCTGTGGCGGCGCTGCACCAAGAACCACTAAAGAAAATGACACAAAATTATCTGAAGACACAAAATGTAAGCAAAAATGGAGCAGAGTCAGATTTTAGTAGTTGGAGGATTTCTCTTTAGTCTTTAGCTAACCACCACAAGCCATTTCTCCCGCTAGTGCTAGGCTAGCATGTTTGTTTTGGTTGTTTTTACCCAGAATGCCCTGCGCTGTAGTCCACTTCCTGCTTTTGGAGCGGTCTCTGGTCTGCTTGGCGTTCACATATGCATTCAAACTGAACCAAACGACAAATCCAGCTGCCTTCATTCAGAACTCTGAAGGATGATTAATATATTTATTTAGTTTATCTAAAACTGTCCTTGATATGAAATATTTAATTGTTACCATAAAAGCAAAACAGAATGTGGGGAAGTAGTTTCTTAAAGTTCGGTAGATACACAGGACAGTAAATTAAACATGTTTTCTCTCTGTTTTTCTTGGAGTTTTTGCTCTTCAGGAGGAAGCAAATGAAAGAAACATCAAAGGAGGGCAGAGGTGATCTTCACAGGTCCTTCACCATCAAGGTTGTGGCGGGAAATTGTGTTGATGATTACAACAGCCCATATTTCTACATTCTCATTCAGGAAACATCCTGACAACACAGCCTCTTCCACACAGACAGACCAGGCTCAAATGAAAGATGATTAGCATTTATTTCCTCTGTGGAGGGCCGGCCGACTCCCTGCGGAGCGCTTCGTCAGCTTCCTGTCGGTCAGATGGGAGCGGCGACTCATTCGCCCCAAAATGGGGGAAATAACACAACAACCAGGTGCTCTTGTTGTTGTCTCTCAGCCCCGGAGCTTCACAACCAGTCTGTGTTTTTGAACAATTTTCAGGCAGCAGAAACCTCTAATTTTACAGGGAATTAGTTTTGCTGTGGCCTCTCTCCCACCAGGCTCCCCCGCTGCTGTCAACAGGAGATGTGAGACAAACAAAGGATCCGTCCGACCCTGCAGCTGCGCGGCGCCGCCCACACACGCTGCGATGGAGCAAATTAAAATACGCCCTTAGCAGCTCTGTTTCTGTTCAGCTGTCAAGTCAATTCAAAGTTTTAAAATGCCAAATAAATATAACATCTACGCAAAGCGGGAGCTACTTAGCAAAAGTAAAAAGGTGAAAGGTTGGACAGCAGGGGGCAGTAGCTTGTTGCAGTGAGGTTAGCAGCACCAAATTGTAGATTTGGGGTAAAAATCTATAAAACCAAAAGATATTTATGGAAAACTTTCTAAGAACAATCAAGAGGTGAAGCACATGAAGCAAACATCTATCTATAAGTCTATAAATGTGAATGTAACTCAAATACATCGTTCACTAAACTGGAAATGATCCGCGCCATCTTGATAGGCAAACACACGTGCAATAAACAGCCAAGAAAATATATCAACACTTCTGACCAATGTGCAAAGAAACATACATGAACAAAATGGCTGCAGGCGGGACTGACCCGTATGAGACGGAGAATGGAAACATGTCAGACGATGTGGAGAAACTGCTGCTGATCTCGTCTATGACATCATTAGTTACCATGGAGGAGCTTCAGGCCTGAACTCTGTGGACGATTACATTAATGTTTCAACGGATTGTAAAGGACGAACAAACTTTTCAGGTGAACAACAAGGTTCTGGTGTCTGGCTAGCTGATAAAAGCTACATTAGCTAAGCTAATTTTGCTAGTTTGGCAGTAAGTACAACAATAAATATCTGATATTTATCCTAGTATTACAGGTAGAGTACTGAGAAGTTGTGATCCAGTAATAGTTGTGAGGAGTTTATATTGTTTATAAGTTGGGCAAGAATGAGGTCAGAGCTAGTTCTAAGTTTGTAGCTTGTTTATTGTTGCCATAGCAACTCCATAGCAACTGCCTACCAAGATGGCTGCCAGTTACGTCACATGAGAAGTATGAGAATAAAGACATAATATTATAAGAATAAAGTTGAAATAAGACAAGAGTAAAGACATATTATTATTTCTCTTCTTAGTGTGGCGTAATGACGTTTTGACTAAAACTCTGAGGTTTAAGAATCTTGTTGGCGTTTTGACTAAAAATCTTTAAATTCCGTCCTGTCAGGCGACGGGGCCTGGATAAGACCCGTGTTAAACGGACGGCGGAGTCCGGCGACGACAGGCGCTTAAATACCGTAACAAAAGTATGTTTTTATCTTTTTTAAAAATCTTTTAATCTTTTTTTCAAAATCTCTTTCTCTTTCTTACTGTTTATTCAATGTCACATGCTGTTTTTATTTTTTCTTTAATTATGTAAAGCACCTTGAAATGCCTTGCTGCTGAAATGTGCTATACAAATTAAATTTGATTGATTGATTGATAGTGTGGCTGTAATACTTCATCGTATTTAAATCTTTTATTTAGTTTGAACAAACAATAAAAAACAAAACAAGTAATCATGCAGTTTTACATAATTAGTTTGAAAAGAAGCAGGTTGGAAATGTAAGCTCTGATTTCCTGCTCCTCTCACCAACCTACAAACATTTAAATCTTAAATTATTCCCACATTAAATGATGTCATTTATACATTTTTAATATCAACAAAAGCAGTTCTGGTATTTAAAATACTGATGCTACACAACATAATTCCCAATAAGCTCCAATTTGAACAGTTTTTAAACTGGTTCATATTTCTCCTATGAGCTTTATTAAATCTTATTTACCTTAAAATGTTTGTTATTAATCTACTTCTTGGTCTGTAACTGTTTCATTGTGAACTATATTGCTAGTAATTCTCTGTACTGTAACAGCAGCAGTAAACATGTTTGTCATTAATCCCAGTAACCTCTTAAAGCTCGCGTTCAGCCGCCGCTCTCCTCTGATGCTTCAGCCGCGCAGCTCTTCGCTGCGCCCTTGTATATATTAGTGGATTCAGACCCCAGAAAACATTAATTATGCTTTCATGTTTCTGCAGGAATGACAGCTGAGGAGGTGAAAGGAGTCACCAGAACCTCTCCATCCGGCGGCCGGCCCCAGCCTCCAGCGCGGCGCGCTCCAGAGGTTGGATTTGTCTAATTGAATTAGCGCCTGTGGCCTCTTGAATGTGCAGCATCAACAAGGGTTTAATGGGAGTCAAAGCTTGGAAAGGAGCGATAATTCGCTGGCAAACAACACTATGAAGAATGCCAGCCACCAGATTAGTGCTGACAAACTGTAATTGGATTTCCTGAACACTTAATTGAATTGGACTAAATGAGCATTTGCCAGTTTGTTTTTTTGTTGTTGCCATGAATTCGGGTTATTGCCAGCAAGGAGAGGAGGGCAGAGTGCCAAACATTTAGCCAAGTAAAGGTAAAAAGTGTTTGGTAGAAAAGCTACTCAAGTACTGACTGACTGGTCAAATGATCAATTATTTAGTATTTAAAATCTACATCATCTGAAGGGCCAAAATATAAAGTTAAGTAGAAAATTTGACAAATTTGACAATAATTCATATTTCCTGGTTCTGATTCAGTTTCTATATTTGCCTTTTCTCGTCTCTAAACTGTAAAACTGATGGACTGAAGACGTTTATGCAGTTCCCTTTCACTTGTTGCAGAATAAAGTTTATCGATAGAAGTGATTTGGTTTTCATGCGTCTGCGTGGAGGATCTGAAACTTTCCTCCCAGCTGGCCGGTTCCTCCTCCCACACAGAACCGGGCCGCTGGTGAACGGGTCTGAACTTTGTTCTGCTGCTCCTGGTGGGCAGGGCAGGATGACCCGCTCCACACCAGATGCAAAACAAACTCATTAGGACGAACATCCTCTCAACGTGGGCGAATACTTTCAACACAGCTCATTTCTTCTCATTTTAAATTCCTCCTCTTCCGTCTTAAACCTCGTTTATTTTATGCACAGCAGCTGCTGATCACTGCAGCCGACACCAGTTGTGTGGGAAACGACATCAGATCGGCCCAGAGGGGCGGAGTCCCAAAAACTGCATCAAAGTAAAACTACCTCAACATCGCTTTACTCTAGTAAAAGTAAAAAGTACTTTTGTTCCAAAAAAAGTTACTAAAGTACGGTCTTTGAACTTATCCGGTGATTTGTGGATCTTTCTTTTCAGGGTCCATTAGGTTACTGACCGGGGTTTTAACAGAACTAGAGGAATACTTTACTGATCCTTTCCAAGAACCTTCATTTCCAAAGACTGCTGATAAGTTCTAGAAAGGTTCTGAGAAAGATCCAGAAAGCCATCTTTATTTTAAGAACATACAGTCTGCGTTATGTACTGTTAGATTTTAAATCGTGGTTTTGGTTTGTTGGACTGACGTCCAGGTTCCTCTACGTCACTGCTCAGTTCTGATGGTACCTCCGCTCAGTGGGTCTCTGAGTCGTCCTGCAGTTGGACTTTGTCTGCAGTTTCCAACCGATCTGAGTATGAATGAGTCCATTTGCCACTCAGAGAGCATCTCTGCCTCATTCTGGACCAGCCAGAACTCATTTNTGATNCGTGTTGGACCGTTTCCTTTAGGCGCTTTAACGTTTTAGTCAGTAAGGAAAGGTTGATCTGAAGTCTGAGCTTTCATAAATAATGTCCTAAGTAGTAAATGTATATAAGTTAATAAGTGAAATGTGAAAGTGGACGACAGTGTGTACGTCCTTAGTAATGATTGGTTGACTTTTAAATACCTGAAAACTTCAGGTCTGCGTGTGTGAAAGCCGTGAAAACGTTCTGCAGAGCTGGAAGCTCGCAGCCGCCTGCAGTACGCTAATCTGACATTTCTTTAGCCTCCAATTTGTTGTCATTAAAGTGCCTTTAATGAGTAGTTAATGCTACACTGTTTCCTGCATTTCGATATCGACGGCGTAAAAACACCAAACAGGACGAGTCATGCACCAGCGAGTCTGCAGAGCAGCGTGGGTAATTAGGCGGCCCGGACTAATTAATCATCCGACTCCCTCTACGCTCCCAAAGAGTAGATCAGCAGCGAGTTGCTTCTGTAATTTCTTACATTGATCAAAGGTTCGCACGTCTTCACAAGGAAAAACAACCAACGAGGATGTTCTGCCGTTTCTGCCAGCTCTCATCGAAGCAAATTCAGCTGAATAACATCTGATGAGTCAGGAAAGAGGCGTTTTGACTGACAGCTCGAGAAACGTTGAGTTTATTCTCTCAGCTGTGCTAAATGCTGCTGCAGCTGCTCCTGCTGCTTCAGAGGAAACAGAAACACCTGCACACAGTTTTCCTGTCAGGTCAGAGGTCAAGCAGCAGAGATGAATCTCTTTGCTGTAGATTCACTCAACATTTCATTTCTTTGTGGGATGATTAACCTGTGGTGTGACAGAAACGTCCCGCTGACGGACTCACTGACTGCATGAGGCTGGCGTCTGATTGGTCGATTTAAACTTTTGAAAGCATCACCAGAACTTCACAGAGTCACAGAGTTCAAATCTGAGTTCATTTTGTTTGTTGTTTTATTTATTTTGAATATTTAAAATATCCAGTGTTAAATGTTCATTGGAATTTAAAGAGAACATTTTTCTGCATTTTTATGCCATTACTGTTATATCACATGAAAATGATTTCAAATCAACAATATTATCATTTATCTCAATAACTTCTGGGAGAATTTATCGTCCAGGAAACTCGATATCATGACTAACTGTTCACGCTCCGGATTTTCTCTAGAAAATATCCAAGATGGCGTCGCGGCAGAAACGCTCAAAATATGTTTATATTCCACAAAAAGAAGAAACAGATGCAACACAATCTGTTTTAACATCCTGAAACTGTTCATCACACAGCATGCAACCGATTGGATGTAAAGTGTTTGATCCGTTGCTTAGCAACAGCGGTGACTCAGGAGGGGGCGGAGCTTGGAGCGTTTCCTGCTGCGACTCTCCCAGGTTGAACTCCTCAGCTTCCCGGTTACTTTAATGTTGGCACCAAACTGTGAATGATCTCCGTTTAACATTTACTTAATAAATTAGAACATATTTGTCATTATTAACAGCATAAAAACTGTTGACGTGCAGAAAGTTGCATTTCATGTTAAAATGTCTGATAGAAGGATTTTTATCGTTTAAGCAAGTTTTAAACCAACACGACATGATGCACATTTTGAATTAAAGAGTTTATTTTTCCCAACTCCATGAGAATCTGTAAGTGAGATTGATGATTGAATATCGATTGGTTCAGTTGGATTTAATCTTTTCACTGTTTCGTCCTCAGATGAAGTCCAGAGGAGCTTCAGACGGGAGGAAAACGTTTTTTCAGCTGTTTTGGACCAGAGCTCGTTTTTTTGGTCCGCACCAGAAGTCGATTATTCACGCCTCCCCAAACGAACCGGGCTTTCTGGGTAAACAAACTGGAGTTTGAACTCTTAAAGTTTATCAAGAAAAGCCAGAAGACGTTAATGAGAAATCTAGGAGACGCAGCGAATGGTACCCTGCACAGAAAAGGTTGTCACTCCAATCCAGTGCAGTTAAACAAAAGAAATGAAAGTAATTTTTTAAATTTATTCTCATCACATCACTGCTGGGACCAAATGGTTTCATATTTGTTATGAGCTGCAGTAGAGAAACCAGCTGATGGTCATTTACTCAAACATCTGGTTCTGGCCTCAAGTGGAATAAAGTTTAATAGCATCTGGCTGCTAATAAAACAACAAAAGCTCATGAGATTCATGAAGCAGAGCTTTTATTTTCCCAGTGAAGGTTTTCTGATCCTTAACCAGACGGGTGATCAGTTTTCTGAATGGGTGCATATTTTACTTTCCTTCTCAGCAGAGGCTGGTTCTGCATATTCTCCTTCTTCACGCATGTTCATCCAGTCCGACTGGCACCTGATAACGGCGACAGGATCGCAGAGTGGGGCCGACCTGCTGTAAGACGAGATAAGGAGCCGTAGATGAGGAGCCAAATGTCGGCCTGTCACCGCCGTGAGGAGCCGCGCTGCGAAACCACTCTGACATTTCTCTGCAGTGTGAAAGCAAAGGAGGCTCTGCATGTAAGTCACATAAATATTAATAAAAACAACACAGATGAAAGTAGAAAAAAAGTAAAAAATAATTCACACCAGCCCTGTTTAGTTTACTTTAATCCAGTTCATCTGTCTAGAAACTTTGGTTCGTTTGTGGAGATCGAACTCTAACATGGATAATAAAAGTGAACTCTGGTTCGGTTTGGATGGATATGTGAACGCCAAGCGGATCAGAGACCACTCTGAAAGCAGGAAGTGCAATACAGCGCAGAGCATTCTGGGTAAATACAGCCAAAAAAACATGCTAGCCTAGCGCTAGCAGGAGAAGCTCCTGGTCTTTAGCCAAAAGCAAAAGATAAATCTTCCAACCGCCAAAATCTGACGCCTCCATTTTTGTTTAAGAAGAAGGAGGTTGAGATCAGTTTTTTTTTTTCAGAGGTTTTCGTGTCACTTCCTTCAGTGGTTCTTGGTGAAGCGCCCCCACAGGCCAGGAGGGGAACAGGTTTTTGAACTAGTTTGGTTCGTTTGACCACAGCAGCTCAAAATGTAACAAATGTTACAACTTTGGTCGCTAACCAGACCTAGTCTACCAAACTGTGGGGGGTGAAAACACTCTCACAATTAAGAAGAGTTGGTTTTGTGACGTTCCTCCTGTAAGACAGGAGCTACCTGTCTGCTGCGCAGTCGGTGGGAGATAAATCAGGCGAGATGTGAACGTGAACATTTTAATCTTCATTTTAGACCTGATTTTGACGAAAGCAGAGCCTGAAACTCTGAAGCTCACAAATTCAGAACAGTTTACAGGTTAAATGAAAAAAGAAAATTGTTTCTCTTTTTATTTAAAGAAAATGACAGAGGAAGATCCATGACACGCAGACCACACTTATGCTGGACACAAACGGTTCAGAATCAACCAACTGTGTCCAGGATTCAGCCATCAAGGTGATTATTTGAGGAGAAGATGAATCAAATCTCCAGTTTCTCCCTCTTGGATCTTGAGGGAGATCGACTTCCAGAGGCTGAGTGACGGTTTGAGAGCAGAAACTGTCAGTCTGTAGGTTCAGGGCTTAAAGCAGCTGATCCATGAATCCAAACAAAGACGCCCAGGACCGTCAACACGTCATGTAGCTGGAGGGATTTTTTTTGTTTTTGCTGTTCTGACTGCAGAAAGAACAAAGCTTGACAGGAGCCAACATGACAGCACTTCAGGATCAGAGGAGATCCCATCATCTTCTCCCATCATGCTCTGCAGAGATGAGAAGCGACGTCTATGTTAAACCTGAAGCTGAAACACTGATGGATGTGAAACAATGGCTGATCTGATAACGAGGGGAGACGGTTTCTGAGTGAAACCGGATTTAAATGCAGATCCTGGATGAACCGAGTCAAACAGAAAGTGTTAAATCCGCCGCAGATCTCCCAGATTACGACTCATTTCTGGGGATTTGTGGCGCAGTGTGTGTGGAGATGAGAACGGCTTCATAAGCAGATGGAGGGAATGTTTAACACGGCGGTAATATAAACATGAGCTGCATCAGTAAAACACACAACAACCAGGAGCCTCAGTTCCTGAATGAAAACCTGAAGTTTTGGATCGATAAATAAATATCAATTTAGAAAAAAATCAAATAATAAAAATGTGGCCTACTTTATTTGCTTGATTTTAGGTTTTCAGAGAAATGCAGCTCTAACATGAATGTGAAACTTTAAATTGTGAGCCTGCCTCCATCGTTTACTGCATCTGATCTCATCTGGGTCCGTTCTCCACCTCCGAGCCGGTTCTGGATGTGAGCTGCTGGGTGTTAGTTTGGCAGAATAAAGAGAATAATCTGCCAGGTTTGAATCGCTTCACACTGAGACAATCAAAGCGTCTGGCCTCACAAACAAGTTTTTATTTCACCGCAGCGTAACTGGAGGAGAACCGCTTCTTTTCTTTCTTCATCTCAGACAAAATGTTGAAAAATTACTGCATTTAGATATTCAGATGGTTTACAAGCTGTTTATCCAGTTAGCTTCACCTTTATGCATTTAGTCATGAGACAAAGCCCTACACGGGGCTGGAATCGCTGCACTGTCTCTTTAAAACATTTGAATCTTTGTTTTCTCAGGGTTCTCCACCTGCTGGGTTGATTTCATCATATTTTCACCATGTCACAGTTTCAAACTGAATATTTAATTAGCAAGCTAAATATTTAGTTTACCAGCTAAATATTCAGATTAGAACTAAATATTTAGTTAGCATTAAGCTAAATATTTAGTTTAAAAACTGATGACATATTAAGTTTGGGAATATTTATAAATAACTTAAATATTTCTCTGACTAAAATAGTTTGGCGCTAAATATTTAGTTTGAAAGCTAAATATTAAGTTTGCTAACTTAATATTTAGTTTACACTGTATTATTAAAAAAGGATTGATTAGAAAATGAAAATATGACTTTGAAAAATGTCCCCACTTTTGTGTCTCAGGCTAAATAAACCAAATTATTGCTGTTAATTTTGACAGGGAGACTCAAAGCGTCATAAGAGGCTCTGTTGGCACCCAGATGTGGGCTACTTTCCTTTATTTCAGCTCAGAAAATGTTGAGTCAGGTGGAAATGGAGATCACTTTCTGCTGTTTACACAAACTGAAGGTGTAATTAGAGGAACCCAAACGTGTCTGAACCGTTTTCATCCTCCTGAAAACACTCAGATCTGCTCAGGTCGGGGTTAGAGGCAGATGTTCCTCTGTTGGATGAGACAGGTGAAGTTCTCCTCCCTGTTCACAGTTCAGAGACGAGAAAGATCCCGTTTCTTGCACCGCCTCCCTCCTGCCGCAGATCAGAGGTTTTAAAATGCTAATCCCGTCGACCTCAAGCCCTGCGGCGCCAGCCGAGAGCGGGCCGCGTCTCTCATGAGCCTCCCGTCACTCAATAATCAAACACACAGACAGAACCTCCTCAAATGCCTCCCAACAGACCCACAGCGCTCAGGAACACATGTCGAAAACAGCGATACGCTGCAGACCGGAGGATTGCATCAGCCGCGTCTCCTGGGACGTGAAGAGACGCTTTAGCCAGAGGACGGCTGGCCATGTCCAGACCCGGCTGGCCCGTGTCCAGACCCCGGCTGGCCCGTGTCCAGACCCCGGCTGGGCCGTGTCCAGACCCAGGCTGGGCCGTGTCCAGACCCCGGCTGGGCCGTGTCCAGACCCCGGCAAGGCCATGTCCAGACCCGCTCGCCCGTGTCCAGACCCCGGCTGCTGCTCTTCATTTCACAGTCATGCTGCACATTTCCTCCTTCATGATGGAAACTCTGGACATGTCGCTCAGGCAGGCGCCGGTGTTTAGTTGATGCTAGCCTGATGCTAACTGGGTTCTATGTTTCCACATAATGCTCTTTCCTGTCACTGTAATGCTGGACAGGAAGCCGTGTCTCATAAACCATAATCCTAGGAAGGACGAGATTTACGATGTTTTCACACCTGATAGTCCAGATAAACTTCATTATTTGTTTCAGTTCTCTTTCTCTCTGCTCTGAGTCAAACCAACCTGTTCCCCTCCTGGCCTGTGGGGGCGCTGCACCAACAACCACCGAAGGAAACAACAAAGACGTCTGAAGAAAACACTGAGCGCAACTTCCTCCTTCACAAAATGGAAACAAAATGGAGTGGCATCAGATTTTAGCGGTTGGAGGATTTCTCATTTCTCCTTCTAGCGCTAGGCTAGCACGTTTGTTTTGGTTGTATTTACCCAGAATGCCCGACACTGTAGTCCACTTCCTGTTGTATGAGCAGTTTCTGGTCTGCTTGGTGTTCACATACATCCAAACCCAGACCGAGGTTTGTGGCGGACCAGCGCTCGATAGTTTGGTCGATTACAGATTCACGCCTCTCCAACCGAATTAAACTTTCTGGAGTTGGATTGAAGCGACTGAACAGGGCTGGTGGGAATGAACCCAGAAAGTCCAGGCTCCAGTGAAATCAGGAATATTATGAAATGCTCCAGAAGGGAAGAATAAATCCACAATCTGAGACTTTAACAGTGTTGAACTTCCTTGTTTGTACTTTGGTCCTGGTTTAGATCCAGTGAAGGATGTCGGCTAATCTCCTTTTGGGATAATTAATCACTTTTCCAAAGACCAGTTTCAGTTGTTTGTAAAGGTCAGACAGACTCCAGAAAGTGAAGTGATTAATTATTAGCATCTGGAATCCTCCCAGTTGACTGGAAGCAGATTGCGGAGTGTTTTCTTGTTCCCCGGCGGACCTCGCTGTCTGGGATTTGGAGGCTCAGTTCAGTCTTCTTACAAATCCGCGTCCCTGAGGAGAGAGCAGAGAACATGTCTGCTTTCCCACAGAGCCGCTGTCATAAATCCCAGCTCTTCTTCCCGGTGTGGAGGAGGGCAGAGTAATCCATTTCCAGGAGTGAATTTAAAGATGGAGGGAAGTCTTGACACGTGGCCAAAGTTGACGCAAAGTCCGGCGAAATGGTCCGTCTGGCACAGGAACAAGCAGCGAGCATCGCACACTGAGATTAATGTCCGCAACCTCCACTGTCCCACATCCATAACTTTCCCTGCGTGGGGAAAACTGCACCGCCATCCAGAGGAACCCAGAGCATCATCACATTCATCACTACGATTATGGAAATCTCCTCGAACAATAAATGTCTAAATCTCAAACCTGTCAGTCTGTGGAGCAGGCGATGAATATTTAAGCTCTGTCGCTCATCAGAAGGGTTTCAGAATGCATATCCATGTCTTCAGATTTCATAAGAATATCATTTAGAAAAAGGAATAAGCACAGAGGATCCTCTTGGGATGGAAATATCCAAATTTACCAGGTTTTGAAACTATTCAAGCCTAAAGCAGGAAAACTACACGCTGCAGCTAACAGGAGACAACATGAAGCTGCCAGAATCAAAGTTCCAGTTATTATTAACCAAAAGCGAATCTGAACAGGTTTTACACATGATTTACAGGAACTCAGTGTTTCTGCTGTTTTGCAGTTTTCTGTAAG